ACCTACAGGAAGCTCTCGCTGAGGGAATCGATCAGAACGGATCAGGATTTAGTCTAATGATGTATAAATGAAGTCTTTAAGCTCCAGGAAGTTTTGATCTCTTGCAGACAGATGCAGATCTGGAAGATGGAACGTCTCTGAAAAGTAAGTACACCCCTATGCACGCCGTTCCTGGTTGGGCCTCCTGGTGAGTTACTGCGTCAGTGCAGTGTGTGACTGAACCGATCAGCCTGTGGCGCTTCGTAAGGTTGCTCTGATATCTGCCTCGTTGGGTCAGGGTAGCGAAACAAATGGCTATTATTATTATTATTGTTATTATTATTATTATTATTATTATTATTATTATTATTATTATTATTGTTATTGTTGTTGTTATTATCTGCTGATCTGTGTGAGCCATTCATGCCAGACGTTTCCCGCCAGCAGCAGCCTTCTGGCTGAAGCTGCACTTTGTTTTTTTTGCATCCTAAAAATGTTTTGTCCAAATTTATTCATGTTGTGTTTGTGTGATCAGAGCTGCTGAAGGAATAATGAAGAGCCTCAAGATGTCTGATCAGATTTACACCAGCTCGCCTGATGCTCCCCGCTAACTGCAGCTAGCTACAGTTAGCTATAGTTATTTGTGGTTGGCTACAGTTAGCTATGGTTATTTGTGGTTGGCTACAGTTAGCTGCGGTCCAGCAGGATCTCTGGTCCTCTCATCCTCTCTCCTCGCTGCTGCTGCAGCTTTTCTCCTCCTGTGCCTGGAGGACGCTTTGTGTGCATTAAACTTTCATTTCCATGGAAATAGGTTGGCAGAGGCAGTTTGGGGATCCAGTGACCAGTTTGTGCAGATAAGTTGGCTTTCATGTGAAACATCAGCCCTCCATGAAATGATTTCAAAGCCCCAGTTTTCCCTAACATGAGAATAATGAGGCCTGATCCGGGAAGTGGTTCTGATGGACCGGTCCTGACAGACCGGCGCCTCCTAAACTGGCTTTAATTTGAAGCCGTTCCCAATATCTGCGCCGCACCTGCGTCCCCCCCTCAGCCACGCAGCGCGCCGCCTGCAGCCACTCGTAATCACACAGCCAAACCTGGAGACGTGCGTCTGAGGAAGCAGCGGCGTCATTACGGGCCGATGAGATCCGCTGGGAACCGGATCGGAGCGCTGGGAGCCGCATGAAGGTGGAAGGTGGAGGACGAGGAAGAGGCGATGTCCATTAAACACTGAAACATGACTTTAATATTCATAAAGCCCCGCTTCCCACAGGAAAAAGGCAGGAAGCTTAAACCTGCAAAAACACAAAATATTACCAAGTAAATCTGTCTGCTTTCTGCTACCTGAGGACATGAAACCAGAGGAACCTGACTTAGAAGGAACTTTACTCAGATATCGGAGCTGCTGTAAGTCAATGATTCTTTATAATTATGAAGTATTTATAAGTGAAATAAGTGGAACTTTTAACAATATGAAAGAATAACTGAAACTATTACATCTGTCCACAAAGTCAAATCAAACTCTGAAGTGAACTCTGGTTCGGTTTGAATGTGAACGCCAAGCGGACCGGAGACCGCCCCAAAAACAGGAAGTGGACTACAGAGCTGGGCATTCTGGGTAAATATAACCAAAGCTAACGTGTTAGCCTAGCGCTAGCAGCAGAAATGGCTCCTGGTCTTTAGCCTAAAGAGAAATCCTCCAACCGCTAAAATCCTCCATCTTGTTTCCATCTGGTGAAGAAGGAAGTTGCTCTCAGTGTCTTCAGAGGTTTTTGTGTCGTTTCCTTCAGTGGTTCTTGGTGCAGCGCCCCCACAGGCCAGGAGGGGAACAGGTTGGTTTGACTCAGAGCCACAGCAGCTGGAGGTGGAGCAGATGTTCTGGTTCCAGTAGAACCGGGTCGATCGGACCATCAGGAGGAAAACAACCTTTAAGTTTCTTCAGAGGAAGTTAAACAGTTCACTTCCTGTTACAGTCTAGTCATCTTCATCACTGCTCTTCACTGAGGAAATATAAAATACTGTCCACCAGAAAAAACCTCTTTGTTAGAACGAGCAGAAAACTTTTCTGTTCAGTCTGCTGTGTGTATCGTTGCCACGGCGACCGTCTCCATTAATTTGGTGTCATTTCTAAATGTTAACAAATGTCCCACATCAGCGTTGCAGCTGACAATAAAGATGATTTGTTTTCTCCATCTGGTGTGACGGAGAGCTCCCAGCACTCTGAGCGCAGCGCGGTAATAACCACGCAGCGTCATTACTGCAGATTAATAGAGCTTTTAATGCGCTCGTTAAACCGCAGCCTCAGATAGAGATGGAAGGTGTCGGCCCAGAAACCGTTCAGGCTCCTCACGGTGCTGCTGGGGCTATCAGCAGCTAACGGCATCCACTGGCATTTACACTTCACTGCTCTTTAAACTGAGCAGCAGCTGCAGCTGATGCTGCTGCTGCTGCTGATGCTGCTGCATCATTAGCAGCGGTGCTGCTGCAGCAGCATCTTGCTGACGCTGCTTAACGCTCTCAACACATTCAGGTTTATCTGTGAGAAGATCCTGTTGGTGTCGGAGTTCTGGAGTTAATCGGATCTTAATGTTTCGTTTCTGGAGTCAAGACGTTGCAGTCTGTTAGCTGGAGAGGTCAAAGGTCAGAGAGGAGCTTCCTCCTGGCCTGGAAGGAGATGAGAACCAGGATCAGCAGCAGCTGCACTGCAAAAACACAAAATATTACCAAGTTTACTTTCTGCTGCAAATATCTGAGATCACTTTTAAATAAAACGAAACTAATTTCTAAGTTGATCCTCAGGAGCTTTGATTTGATGACTCTTCCACTCATGGCAAAAGGCTGGGCCAGCGCTGCACTAAGACTAAATTAATAATAATATTTTGTGTTTTGCAGAGATTCAGACACTCTGACCTACAGGACAAGCAGCTCAGATCATCCTGATCGTTCTCTGTAGCTCTGAGCATTTCTCCTCACTTTCTTCTCCTACTGCTCTCCACTTTGTCTTATTTTAATGTTTTAATTTCCTCTCCATAGCAGCTGGATCTGGTCTTAGGTTTTGTTTGGCTGTGACTCCCTCCTGGAGCTAATGCTGCCATCACCTCATCGTTGTGGCTCTCCTGGGATATGGAGCTTACTGCCCCCCCGCCGTCTCACAGCGGGGCGTTGAACCATTTTCCACGAAATCCAACATCCAGGCTGCTGGGTTTTCACCGGATCGTTCCAGTAAAAGTCGTTTTTTTATCAACCTTTTTGTTTCAGCTCCAGATTTCTGCAGCTCAGATATTCTTTATTTTCTTTTTACTAACAAAATGTTATTTACTCTTTAAAAAAACCCAGACATGTTTCATGTTTTAAAAACCATCTTTATTCTTTAGTTTTCATCATCTAAGACTGAATTCTCTGTTAAAATTTCCCTTTTAACCTCATATTTTTATAGACGTTTGATCTTTAAACATTTTTCTACTTTGCAGTCGTGTTCAGAACTTTGAGCTGGTTATTTTATTTTAAAGCAATTTCTCCATAAAGTTAGTTCAACAAACGGATGCTTGACGTCACATGAATGAGATAAAGACATTTAAATACAGTCAGAGCAGCTCTAACAGCTGACGGTCCGGTCGACCCGGTTCTATTAGAACCAGAACATCTGCTCCTCCTCCAGCTGCTGTGGCTCTGAGTCAAACCAACCTGTTCCCCTCCTGGCCTGTGGGGGCGCTGCACCAAGAACCACTGAAGGAAACGACACAAAAACCTCTGAAGACGCTGAGAGCACCTTCCTTCTTCACCAGATGGAAACAAGATGGAGATTTTAGCGGTTGGAGGATTTCTCTTTAGGCTAAAGACCAGGAGCCATTTCTGCTGCTAGCGCTAGGCTAGCACGTTAGCTTTGGTTTTATTTACCCAGAATGCCCTGCGCTGTAGTCCACTTCCTGCTTTTGGAGCGGTCTCCAGTCCGCTTGGCGTTCACATTCAAACCAACCAGAGTTCACTTCTCACCTCACCAACCGGACCGGAGTTGGATTGAAGCGGACTGAACGGGGCTGATGTGAACCTGGGTTACCTGTCCAGGTAACATGACCGGCCTTTGATCCTGGACTCGCCTTTCTCCTGATGACCTGTGATGCGGCTCCAGCTCCTCCTCATCACCTGCTTCCTGGTTACTGTGGGACGGAAACAGAGAGACGTTTTCATGTCGACTCAGAGACCGGACCGGACCGGAGGCTCAGAGTTCAGTGGGATCAGAACCACTTTGTTTGGATGGCTGCAGGTGGAAAACACGCAGAGAAACCAGCTGGTTGTCGTGAATCTGTGAATCAGAAACATTTTGAGGTTCTGGACTCAAACAGGAAGTGATTTTTTTCTCTGAGACGTTCCTTCAGGTGGACACACACCTGGACCGGACCCTTCCTCCTGATGAGGATCAGCAAGCAGGTCTGCAGGAATCAGAGCTGCTCCCCGGTTCGTTTGTTCTCATGCCTGGATGTTTTCCGTGGCGGCCGTCTCCATGGAGCAAACAGTTGCTGATTATAATCCTGCAGAGATTTAAAGGCAGATTAGCGGCGTTCTGATCCACTGGTTGCATCATCACTCTTCGTCCTGCTGTTCTCCTGAACAACCAGACCCGGACCTCGGCTGACTGGTTTCACACCAGTAAGGAGCTGTGGGCTGAACTGGGACGACCTGACTGGCTTCCATTATTTACGCTGGATGAACTTTGACCTTTGCTGCTTTCTTAACTTTCCAAACGGTTTTAAACTGTTCTGAGTAAACAAAAAATAAAACATTATGAATAAAGTTACATCACAGCTGACTCTGATCCTCCATGTTGGACAAATCCTTTAATCTCCATGGTAACCGTTCAGCTGGGTAAAACGCCTGGGGGGACTTAGCCCCGCCCTCAAGGCGCAGCTCCTCCTCAGAGCTGCAGCCCTCCTCTGCAACTCGGCTCCTTCAGACTAGCCAGCAGCAATTAGCAAACATCTGCTGAGCTCGTTATAGGAGCTGCTGCTCAGAGCGACGCTGGTGAAAACATTAAAGGGTTAACAGAGGAGCCATGTTGAATGACTTCCTGGAGGCGGAGCTTCTTGAAGAGGCAGACACCCAGTGTCAAGGCGTTAAATCAGGAATTTAATTTTTTTTAGGTCATATTTGGTATATAGATCATTTTATAACACCTGAAGGTAACACAGTTACTTCATTGTGCTATAAAATGGGACATTGTGACTAGAAATCATAACGCTGCCCCTGTAATGCCTGAATGCTTCGTGAATAACCTTTACTGGGGGAAATTTTCAGAAAATTGCAGAAATTATAATAATTTTCCCTAAATAGCGCCACCAGGAGCGGCTCTTTGCCCTCCTGCATGTGGAGACAGCAAACAGCCTGGTGATTACAGCTGGAGAGCTCTCCTGGTGATGAGTGATAAGCAGGCTGCAGCTCATGTTTCATTTTCTGTTGGTTTTGGTTAATCAGCAGGAAATCAGTTGATTCATGATGGACCTAATTATTACTTAATGGCTTCATGTTTGAGCAGATTCCTCCTGAGAAATCACCGCTTCTACATTTAGAGCGGTTTATTAGAAAAGTGATGAAAATCTGTTTGTCTGTGGCTATGATTTATGGTTTTATTAGAGTTTCTGCAGGTTGTGGAGGAGGATGTAACTTCACCAGGATTCTGGAGACGTTTTTAGATCAGATGACGTTTCTTTACCTCCATCAGACGAAACTCCCACTGAGAGCCAGACGATCGATAATCTGAATATATTCTGAGTTTCACTTCCAACTGCTGCTGTGGGGGTAGAGAACACACACACACACACACACACACACACACACACACACCAGACATGTTGCTGCAGGCAGATCTTCCCTGTGGTGAGGCCTTAAAGCATTTCCTGTGCAACTGACATGGAAACAGAACCCAGAACATCAGGAACCAGAGACGAAGCTCAGCGCTAATCTGTATCTGTCCATGTCCTGCTGCAGCATGGAAACATCCAGGAGAACCACTTCCTGCTGCAGCAGCATGGAAACCTCCAGGAGAACCACTTCCTGCTGCAGCAGCATGGAAACCTCCAGGAGAACCACTTCCTGCTGCAGCATGGAAAGCTAGCTAGCTCCTGCTAGTTTTTAATCTGTTTAGCAGTTTAAAATTCACTGCCGCTAAGTGTTTTTAAAGTGTTTTGCAGTTTAGCGTTAACTTCTACTAATTTTTAAGATGTTTCGTGGTTTAGCGTCAGCAGAACTTAAGATTTCTGGTTTGTGGACTAGTGGCTATCGGCGCTAGCCTTTTGGCTAGCTGTGCTCACCACAGCTAAAAGCTGCTGTTGATTTTAATGTTGGATCAGAATGTCCTGCTGCAGCTGGATTGGTCCAGTTGTTGCTCAGGTGACATGTTTTTGGTTTTGTTCCCAAAGTTTTAGCTGAAAACAAAACATGCAGTTTTACCGTTGATGCAGATGTTTAGCAGCTGGATGTTTATTTTGTTAGCTAAATATTTAGCAGGTGACTCTGCAGCAGTGAGTTCCTCACTGCGCTTTTTGAGCAAGGCTTAGTGTTGCGTCATCCCGTCCTGCTGCAGCCCCCACCCCTCTCTCTCATCAGATTTTATTTTTCTGCGCCGTTTCTGCAGGCTGAGTCAAATCGCTCCAACTTTCTGCAAACTGAGCTGAAACTTTTCGTCCTCCAGACTGGCTGGCCTCTGCGTGAACTCGCAGCGCTGCAATCCCGTTACTGCAGCGTGGAGAAGGGACGGGAACCGGAGGGATGCCGTGGCAACGGGGCGAGTCTCAGAAGATAAAAATAAGCTCATGTGGCTCTAAACCTCCATGCATGGATTTCCACCAAGGTGCAGCTGCTGATATAAACATGTGAATGGGATGAGGAAGAGGATGGTGAAGAACCCAGAGGGTTTCTGATCTCTGGGCACCTTCATCCCTCCTCCTCTTCCTCTGCCTTCAGGCTCCTGTATTATTCATAAGCTGTATTGTTTCTACCTGCAGCAGCAGGAGATGCAGCCGCGCTCTGCAGGATTACTGCAGGTTTCTGGATTTGTTCTGATTCTAATCTGATCATGTCAGGATCTCTGCTTCGGGTTCCAGACGTCTGAGCAGATTCCAGATGAAAACAGAAAAACATTCCAGATGAAAACAGAAAAACATTCCAGATGAAAACCAAACGTGAATCATTTGGAGGTTAAAAGGTTCTTAACATTAAAGCCTGAATCCAGGAGACAAACTTCGGCTCTGACGGGTTTATCAGCTGAGCCTGATGAATCGATTAATCGTTTCAACGCTGCTAAACTAGTTAATCCGATTCACAGTGATGAATCGTTCAATCGTGACGAGTCGTTCCGGTCCTGGCTCTGGCGGTTCGGTTCTGTCAGACCGGATCACAGAAACATTTCCTTCTCCTCCATCTTTTCTTTCTCCCTGCAGCTCCACTGTTTCTGTCTTCTTCTCTTATTTATTCCTCATCGTTGATCTTTCCCGCCCTCGCTCCCCCAGAGATCAGCTGAGCCGCCCCCAGACAAACACTTTGACTGGACCCAACACGTCTTATTTCCTGTCTTCTCTGAGCCTCTGTCAGCTTTTTGTTCTTCAGTCCAGGAAAGCATTTGTCTTCACTTCCTGCTGTCAGAGTTTCTTCTTACCGCTTCATCCTCCTGTTGTCTGTCTGCTCAGGAGATCCCAGGCTTGTAGAACAGCACAGACATGACAGCACTGTCTGCAGACTGGACTCCTCATCTTCCTCGCTGCGTCCCTCTGGGTTTCCTCTCAGCCTTCAAGCGGCGCAGCGCTGCAGACTGGAAGTGATTCAGAGGTTTTCTAAGGCTGGTTGGACACCTGATGGGAGGAATGATCTGAGCAGGTAAGAGAGGAGGAAGAGGTGAGGAAGAGGTAAAGAGAGCGTACAGCATGGAAGTGAAGCCGTGTTCACACGTAGCCAGTCTCTTTAAAACGACGATAAACCAGATATTTGTTTCTATGAAATAATCTCTTCCACACCTGACCGCACAAACCTGCTGAATTTTGCCACTGATTGTTGTTATAAACATGCCGAACCCATAGGGGGCAGTGTAGGGACAGCTAAAACCTGTCAGCCAATCAGAATCCTTCAAAACAACCAGCACGTCCTCCGTGTGGGGGCTTGCCCCGCCCACACGGAGGCGATTTCAGGTGATCCAGTTTCTAACCGTCTAAACGGATTCGGCATGTTGGGAAACGAGGATTTCTGAAACATTTCAGGACGTTGGTTCATGATTCACACGTCTTCTTTAAATCCATGACACTGAAGCTCCGTTTCATCAACACCTGATTTCTGATTGGAAGTGATGGATTAATCCCAGATCCTGGAATCAACCGGATTAATCCCACTGCCAAAGGAAACGTAATCACATGCAAATTCAACCATGAATGAACGTAAACATGAAAAACTGCCAGGTGGGGCAGAGCAGCAGCAGCTGGTGGAGGTCCGGGTCCGGTTGGTTCTGTTTGTGCTGGCCGACCCGGAGATGCCCCCATGTAACGATCCTGTGCCGGGTCCAGAACCCGTCAGATCCAATTAGGCGCCTGGCATCAGACACAGCTGGAGAGGAGCAGCACGATGGCCTGAGGGGCGCTGATGATGATGATGGTGATGAAGGTGATGGTGGTCGCCGTGGCAGCAGTGGTTCGGTTCTGTAATTTGATTTGGATTTAGTGTCGCTTGGAGGAATGACACAAATTCAGCAGGGATTAATCCGGCTTTAATCCAATCTGTCCTCTGCAGCCCAAAATAACTCGGCCCGGTTCTGATCCTTTTGGGTCCAGAACACGGCCCGGTTCTGATCCGTCTTGTTTGGGTCCAGAACATGTTCAGGTTCAGGTGGAGCAGCGACTCCAGTTTGGGGCAACGAGCTGCAACAGAGAGTAAAGTAAATGGATGAATTCTACGGAAGACCTGAAGTGCCTATAGGGGAGCATAAGAAAATTGTGATCAATTTTCGGACAAAAAAAAATATTTCTTTTATTTTTACAGGAAGCAACCAACAAAATATTCTTTTAAGTATTTTTTCCTGAATAAATAAAATACCCATTTTGTAATTTTTTTCTCTTTTGAACACACAAAAATAAAATATTTTTTTTGCTAACATTGTTTTTCTCACTTGAGCAAATAAATTATTGTTTTTTTCTGTTGAATGAGATGGAAAAAATAACTGACAGAATGTATTTGCTTAAACGTAAAAAAAAGATTTTAGACTTAGAAAAATGAAACGTGTTTTTCATTAGCTCTGTGGGATTCAAGTGAGACAAAGAAAAATGAAGAGAACTTTTTTCTTTTCCACTCTGCTGGTTGCTGTAGAATATTTTTTTTTATCACAAATGTTTGATTAAAAAAAACACATTTGATCGAAGTTTTTAGGAGAAAAAAAGTTTTGATCTATTTTTTTTCAGCTGCACATGACTTAAAGTCAAGAGACAAAGAAAATTTGGTCAGACTTTAAAAAAGGGGCCTTCAAAAATATTATTCTTTTAATTCTTGTCCTTTCAGGGCTTCCATAGATTGGTGAGGAACAGCAGAAACGAGATGTAAATGTCCCTTTTAATGTGCTTCTGCTGTTGGAAGGAGTGGCAATTGGTTGGTAATCTGCAGATCCATCTGGGATCAGATCAGATTCCAGATTAAATCTGTCCCGCTGCGACTCGCTCCGTTAGCGGGAACTAAGCTGCTCTCTGGAAAACCGGACGGGAAACGTTCAGTCGAGGAAAACCTCTGGTTAGCCCCGTAGATCTGCTGATGATGAATCACCGCTCTGCATTTCATGGGTTTATAATAAAACATTCTGTAATTTAATATTTGAACAGCTGGTTCATGAATAAAATTTCACTCCTGCTTAAAATTGATCTGTTTCATTTTAATTTGAGATTCAAGCCCAGAAATGAAAAAAATGTTTAATTTAAAATGGAAAAAGAAACTCCTCCTTTTTCCTTTTGACGTTTAAACAGATCAGGAGAAACAGCGATGACGACAGATTCACCTGGTTCACCTGGTTCACCAGATTCACCTGGTTCACCTGATTCACCTGGTTCACCTGATTCACCAGATTCACCTGATTCACCTGGTTCACCAGATTCACCTGGTTCACCTGATTCACCTGGTT